CGAGCACATAGATTTGCCACTACAAACAAACAGTTACCAAACAAATTATCTGATAATGCTTCTTGAGGAATTCATTCATTCAAAATAGGTAAGAGGAATAAATTCATTAGTTATACTTGCCATCAACTAGGAATAACTAAATCCTTAACATCAACATTTCTTCAAGCTGTGTGTGATCTCACCCTTGAAAAAGAAATGTGAACTGAGCTTAACATTTTCCCAGTAAGCTCACCTCTCCTCCACTGAACTAAGATTTACTTTGACAATGCATTTTCATAATATGTAAATTCCAAAATATGTCACCCAGAGAACTATCACAGTTAAAAACAAACATACAGCCAACACAAAAGAAATCACTGGGATTTCTTCTGATATGCTTAAACCTTGTTAGGCAGAGTTACTTGGTGTATGTGCTAGTGGGAGATAGTAGATATTCGGTGAAATAGTTTAAGTGCGCACAAGCTAGCTTGGACACCATCATTATCAAAACAAAAGAACACTAAACCAATTATTCTAGCATAAATACGTGTTCATTTATCCCTTGCACCACACCTAACATCTATTTTCCTAAAACTTCAAAGAGCCACACTTAGATTAGTTCACCATTAAGATGATCCAATTACACATATGAAAGATGCTAGTGTTGTTTCTAATAAGAGTATACATGGTTAAGACCAAGATGTTCGTCAGAAGCAAGCTAGAAACAGCACATTGGAATTACAGTACATGATTACTAAGCTCGAAACATAAAGGTGATATTAGATTAGTTTTAGTTAAGATTTGAACCTAAGACACTTTTATGGAAAATACAGAGTCAGAAAATAAAAAAACGAAATGATAAAAGGTTCAGAAACTTGTTTTCCGACAATCAAGCTTGCTAACTTTCATATGTTGTAAATATCGAGGAATGAGCAGTGACAATAGCAACCGCAATACGTCCCTAATTATAGAATTGCATTCGTATTAATTTAGTAAGAGCATAAAAGAGGAAATAATGATAGCAAAAGTAAGAATGCATAATGACTGACCAAATTATAAGGGGGGAAAAGACCTCCCTTGTCACGTCATCATTTTCATAAACATTTAGGGCTGCAGCCTAAACTTGCAAACAGATGAGGCTGTTTGGATACAGATTAGACACCGCAGAGAGACACAGCCACAAAAGTGTGGAGCACCAATGTGATGTATGGACACTTGGAAGACAAATATTTAAACATCTGTAAGAGACGATGTATACCTTTTCCAATTCTCTCACACCTTCAGCATATTGTTCCTTTTGTAGCAATGCAAGACCAAGATAATAGTGGGCCTGTTTACCCAGAAATCACTCTTATGTTATTATCTGTAGGGAAAAAACAATTTCTAGCAACACCAACTAAGAAAGACCATAAATTCAGCAGATAAGAAACAGAGATTCTATAGAAGTATTCAACTTTGATTATGTGGATGTTCTATCATGCTATATTATTCTCCTAAAACTTTGAATTTATCAATAATAGTTAACAAATCAACATCTCCAGGATTTACATCATTAAAACTCCAGATTATCTTTGCATTAATCTGTACAACTAGCAAGAATACCATATTCAAGTTTTTTTTGTAGTGATCCTATTACAGTAACTGCTCTCTCGGCAAACTATTTCTCTGATGGAACATTTAAGATTTCATATTTCCATTTTTCCCTCTTCAAACTAGTTATGACCATGAGGGTTTTCAACATCCATGAGAAAAACAAACTAAATTTGGTGATACACTGAAACACATCTAAGTCAACCTTGATAAAAGCAACAACAACAAATCCACTGTAATCCCACAAATATTGTACAGGGAAGGTGGTCTGTGCACAACCTTACCCCTACGTTGTCAATGCGAGAGACTATTTTCAATAGACCTTCAGCTCGATAGAGCACTTATATGAAAACACCACATTGGAAAAAGGAGCATGCAAGCTAAGAATCACAATGTTTCGTACCTTTACAGAATTATGATCGAGCTGAATCGCCTTCCTGCAATCTTCCTCCACTCTTCTCCAGTCACTATAAATCAACAATCACAATACTGCAAACACATCTACAAACATACCATCAAACCGAACAAAAAGAGATCGAAGAAACACATACTTCCGCCTCCGATGACATAGAGCACGATTGGTCCAATATATCGGAACATTAGGGCACAAAGTAATTGCCTAGAAAACAAAGCAATCAGTAGAATCAAATATCCTATAAAATTAAGAAAAATTAGAAAAAGAGAAATATCAATCCATTTTGACCTAACACTAACAATAAAAAATACCTCTGTATAAGCATCAATGGCAGCCCCAAACCGATTCTTCTGAAAATAATGGTTCCCATCTTGCTTTAGTTGTTCCGCTTGCTTCGAACCCACGATTGATGCCATTTCTCCTTCTCTGTTTTTTCTTTTCTCTTCGATCTTGAAACAAACCTCGAGTTCTTGGAATCTCTGTAAGCAATTGCTACCCTCTATATATACATGAAATTTGTTTTAGAAAAACAGGATGAAAGGTCGGAAAATTGAAAAAGTAGCGCGGCGGGGTGGAGAGGGGCGGGAGAAGGATGGTCTGTGAAATTTCAAGAGCAAATGTGCGGAAGGAGCAGAAAATTGGAAGCGTATGCTATGGTGCGCCGAAATACGATAAATTGTTAACTGTGCAACCTCATTGGGGCCACACTAAACCACCTCCTTTTCTATTCATAAAAAATACTTAGGGCCTGTTTGGAAGGATACTTGGTAATTGAATTTGGTGTAATTAAAATGTTTTGTCCTGTTTTGAAGGACATGTAATTCTTGGTCAGCAGGCAATTAGAGTAATTGGCAGGGGTAATTACACTACAATTCACAGGTACAGGTTGTGAATTGCTGGTAATTACAACCTGATTACTTTTTAGTTTCTTTTTTTTTCTTTTTCTATTTTTACTTTTTTGTTTTAAATTTTTTTACTTCTATTATTTTAAGTTCTTTTTTTATTTTTATTATTCTAAAAATTTGTAAAAGTTTATTTTTTATTTTATATTTTATATTATTATTTTTCATTTTCTTCTTGTTCTCAACCTTACTTTACGTGATTCTATGTAATTTTCTCGTATTATCTATTTCTTTATGCCATGCTTATTATCTCATTAGCATAATTTTATTAGTATTCTATTTTTAAATTAAAATAGAATTTATTGTTAAGTAAGGTTATAGACTTACGTTTTCTTTATTAAGAAAAAATAAAAATAAATCATATTTATTGCTATGTTGAAATTTGTTATAAGAGTATTATGTTAAATTTTTTATTTTGAATTTATAACTTATGTTATATTTTCAGTTTCATTTGTTTTAGTAATATTGAATTTACATTGCACGTCATTTTTTAATTAGACTTAATAGATTATATTTTTGTCAAATATTTAATAATTTATGACATTTTATTTATATTTTATTCTTTTTATCAAACATGTATTTCACGATATTCATAAAAACTTCATACTTTTAGTTGTTACAATCAATTCATTGAAATATATTAATTTGAAAAAATATAAATCAATTATTTTTTCATAATATTAGTTACAGAAAATATGTTTATTAATTAATATATTTTCAAAAAAGAATATATATCTTAAATATTTAATTTAATGTCATTTATAAAGTTTCTTATTTGTCTAGTATAACTTTTAAATAATTAATTTTTATTTTTAAAATTTATTATAATTTTACAATTGTAATTGTGCATCAAAACAGAACATGTGTAATTACACTGTGACATCCAAACAAGACATGTGTAATTACAGTGTAATTACACTGTGGCAACCAAACATGTTAGTGTAATTGCTAGATAGTGTAATTACTAAGCTGGTAATTACTATCCTAGTAATTACACCAATTTCAATTACCAAGTGACTTTCCAAACAGACCCTTAGTAAAATTAAGAGGTTAATGTTAGGATATTAAAATTTTCTTTTAATTTACTTGTCCACCATATAACGAAAACTTAGTGTACTAGATTATCCTTCGATTTAAGTTACAAAGTCATGCAAGTCTATTAGGAATGCAAAGCTGTCATGAGAACCATGTTAAAGCTCTGTGGAAGTCGAAGGTCGGTTCAATGGGGCAATGAGGAGCTAGTACTGAATCGACTGACTGTCCACTTGAAACGGTATAATCATTAAAAACAAGTAGCTAGTGATTACATTTCTAGTCGTGAAAGATAATGTCTAATTCACATTTTCATAATTTAAATCTAAATGTTACTCCTATCTATCTCATTTAGATAAAAATATTCTTATTTGGCAGAATCACACGACCATTAGTTCGTTGCAAATACTAAACATCATTTTTACTCTTTACCCAATCCTAAACATTATTTTTTCTCTTTATCCATTCCCTTTGTATATCACTTTTTTCTCTAAAATTTCATTTAAAATTTTTTTCGATAACATAATAATAGAATATATATAAAAATATTTTTTAAAAAAACGTTTGACTTGAAGATTGACATTTTATTGGAAATTAGAAGTCATACCCCCGTCCTCTTGACACTTCATTGGAAATTTACAGCATGCTGACTCATGCCAAGTCGGACTATAATTATAGGCCCACGGCCCAGCACCCTTATTAAGGTTTACATGAGGAAATTTTTCGTCTAATTATTTTTATCGAATTATGTTAAATATTTTTACATTATTCAATTTTAGACTCTAAATTTCATTTAATATTTTGTTTCCAATCAATGACACTCAAATTCATGAATTCGTTATTGGATGAAATTTAATTTTCTAAGCGAAATCTTTGAATCTTTCTCTGGTATCTAAATTCCGCAAAAAATATTTATACAACCAAATTATTAATACTAATAAACCTATTATTACCAATTAAACTATATTTCTATATGGAGTAGTATTTTTATTTACAATAATATTATCACGTTATATAAGTGAAACGATTTCCTTCCTTTATATAAATATCAAATCCCCAAAATTCAGCATCTCTGCAAAAATGGCCTCTCTTCTCCATCTCCATTTCATCTTCCTCAACGCATTTCTTCTAATTTCCCCTGCAATATCAAACAATTGCTCGTCTTCTCCGGCGCCGATCTCCGGTAACACTCACTTCGTCGACTGCACAGATCTCCCTTCTCTGAAATCATCTCTTCACTGGACTTACAATTCAACAAATTCGACACTTTCAATTGCTTTCGTTGCTCCTCTGCCTTCTTCTGATGGCTGGATTTCATGGGGAATTAACCCAATTAAGCCTTCCATGATCGGCACTCAATGCCTTATCGCATTCAAAGCTTCAAATGGATCCATGATTGTTAATACTTACAATCTTACTTCGTATACATCGATTACACAAACTGATAAACTTTTGTTTAAAGTTTTGAATTCTAAAGCAGAGTACTCTAATGGCGTCATGCAAATATTGGCCACTTTGGTACTACCGTCAAATATGACCACGGTAATATTTACATTTTTGTCCTGATTTTTTGTTTATCATATTGAGAATTTCAAAAGAAAGATAATACATTATCATAATACAACAACAAACTCACTATAATCTGCAAGTACGGTCTGAGAATGATAGAATATACGCACATCTTACCATTACTTTAGAGGAATAATACATTATCATAAGAGTTTGAATTTAAGATTTAAATTGTTAATCTTGTAAGGTTAAGATTATTAGTTCATTGCAATTTAAGTGAACTTGAGCTAAAAGTCTATCGAAAATAGTTTCTCACTCTGTCTACCTTCACAAAGTAAATATACAATTGCATACACACATGACATTATCCTTCTCAGATCTCACTTATAGAACAGTAAGAGTGAATTTTGTGAGATTATTATTTAATTTTATATAGCTATTTTTTAATTGTTATTTAAGTTTTATTAGTTATCATATGACATCTGTTTATTTCGATCATAACAGGTGAATCAGGTGTGGCAAGTTGGACCAACGGTGAAAGACGGTTCACCAGTGGCGCATAAGTTTGATCTTGACAATTTGAAATCTAAAGGCACATTAAATTTGATTACTTCTTCCGGTGGCGATGGAAAAAATGCCACAGCTCCTGTTCCTGCTGGTGGTGATGGACAGAGTGATAATAAAACGGGTGGATCTTCAAGAATTTGGAGTAACAATACTAGTTTTTACGTCTTCATTATGTTCCTTGGAGTTCTGTTTTTTTAACTTAAGGATCAAATTAACAATGTTCCAATTTGAAATGATTCAATAAATTAGTTGTTATTTACATTCACATTTTATTAAATGAATACAATGCTCTTATTTACATTCACATGTTAGAATATATGGCTTTTTTGCGATTTCTTTGATATTCTGAAAATAATATGTGAAAATATTATAGAACGTGCAAGTAAACGGAGGGAGTAAGTAGAAAGGTTTAATTTTTGATTACTTAAAAGTTTCATGAAACGGTTCATACAATAAAATATTGACATACATTTTTTACCAACTTTTTTGTTGAGTAATTTAAGCCAAAAAACTTGGCATTCAATTTATTTTTGACCCACTTTTTTGTTGAGCAATTTAAGTAAAAAAATGGCATTCTTTAGCCATATATCCAACTTATACGAATGAATAGGAGCACAATCTTCCCTCCTCTAAATTCAAGCCTATTTAATAGTCATATATAAAATGACTTATTTTTAATTTTTATCAAATTATGAACAGAAAATTACGGAAAATTTGTTTTGAGGAGAACTTTAATTAGAGTCTCAAGTCTCAACTTATATCAAACATTGAATACATCTTTATATAAAGTGATGTATATGATATATATCAATTCCCACCTATATATATATAAATATATCAATAATTAGTATCGAAAAAAGATATTAGCACATATATTTATTGGTAAACTGTTTCATTATGAGATAAATAATTTAATTTTAAGTAGAACAAATACAATGTACCTTTCCCTATATAGATCAATAATTATTATCGAGGAAAAAAGGATATTAGGACATGTATCCATTCGTTAAATTGTTTCATTATGAGATACATAATGTATTTTTAAGTAGAACAAATACAACACACTTTTTAAAAATGTATATCACATATGTAATTTGATTCGGATACACAACTTCTTCGCTATCATTAAAATTTGTATTTTTTTTATAAAACCAAAAAAAACAAAACTACTCATGAATTTTGAAAAAACCTCAATTGAATTCGAAAATCAATTAACTACATGGTGTATACAAATGAAATTGCACATTTGATTCTTCCCTTAATCAGAGGTCTCAGGTTCAAGCTTTTGGTATGGAAAAAATTATTTTTAGGAAGTGTTTCCCATCGAATGGGGCTCTACGCAGCGCGAATCCAAAATAATTGAACTCTATTGCTGGTACCAGACACCGGGTGAAAAACTCAAATATTCAAATAATGCACCGATTAAGTGTGAACATACTTATTGTCGTTAAAATTTGTTAGAAATTATTTCATCCTTTCCTTTTTATTTTTATCTTTATTTATTTAAAGTAAAGAAATTTACCTATTAATGAATGAAAATATCCTTTAAATGTTGGTAGTTATGAAAAATCTTAAAATATCAAGTTATCAACCATACTTTTGGTGGTGGACAAACTACATAAATCCCACTAGTTTAGGTCTTAATTACTAAGATTCCCGATAATTTTAAAATTACTTCTTCTACCATATTTCATGCTTAGGATACATGGGTTTGAATCCGCGAGATACATGTATCTGCCGAATTTTAAAACTGAGATACATATTTTATCTGTTTAAATTAATTAGTTGTAACTGATTTCCTTAATTAGAGGAGTAATTGAGGATTTTTAGATTACATGGACAATTAATTTTAGAAATTTAAATTAATAATATACCTTAATATAAGACAGAAAGTAAGGAGTGTATATATGTTTAATTTATTTTATTTTATTATTCTTTGAAATAATAAATTCATCAATATTATCAATAAAAGACGAAAACATGTATATCTTGGTCATTTAACTCGATTAATCTCATTTTATTACTCTTAAATTAATAAATTCATTAATTTGATGTCTCTATTATCAATACATGATGTATCCAACAAACTAAACACTTAGATACATGACTATCATATAAGTACATTCATATGTATCATAGACGTATCTAATATCAATTTCGTGTTTATAGTATATGTGTCTAGTATTAACTTAATGTATCTGTTTATATGACCTAATATTAATATCATGTATCTATTTATATGATCTAATTTTAATTTCATGTATCTTTTATATGTATCTAGTATTAATTTGATGTATCAAGTATCAGTTTCATACATTATATTCAAAAACATGTATCTCGGATGCATAGTAAGCATATACATATAATTATGTGTATCTAAATATGTAATGTAATTGAAACACACAAATTTGGCATCTGAAATTATTTCTCATAGATACAAATATTTTTAACTCAGATACATGAAGTCTTAACTAGATATATATACAACTGATATGTATTCAACATTGTTGCACTCGATGTGTATCTAATGATGTATTTGTTCTGTTAATTAAAGCTTGGCAAAATTCTTCCATCTTGATTAGGTTGTTCCTATATTTAGATCTATTCTCGACTTAAATGTTGGCGGATGAAGAGTCAGTCCCTGGAATGAGAAATTCATGAGTGAAAATAAACAAATAAAAGTTGTTTAATTTAGTATAGTATTGTTAATGTGCAGTACCTTTAACAAGAATCATCGATTTCGAGAATGTCCAGCCACAAAAGTGTTTGAGAAACAACAAAATTAAAAAATATAAAACTTAATTTGTAAAACTATTTAAAATTGAATTTCAGAGCATTATGAACTTTTAACTTAGATACAAAACCAAGATAAATGAGAATAATAAAATAATAGAAACAAACCTATATATATAATGCTAATTTGAACATGCAAACATGTATTAAGAGGATGAAGGAAGAAAGAGGGAGAAGATGGAGGAATAAAGAGGGCTAGGTGGGTTTAACGACAGATGAAATGAAGAGGGAGAAGAAATTGGGGTGGGGGGCAACGGCAGATGGAAGAAAGAGGGAGTAAAAAAAAAGGGTTGGTGGACTTTTGAGGGGTGGGGGATTTGAATTGTTAATGGACCATTAATTAAGGAGTTTAAATTTAAGATAATTATTAAATATCATATTTAAGGGATTTCTATATCTGATTAAATATTTCAAAATATATGATATAACTATTAAAAGTGGTAGTACGTGTAATTGTTTTAAACTAGAGGTAAATATAGTATATACGGTAGGAATGTATGTGTTGTTAGGTAGTTTTTCCTTTGGTGGGGGCAAAGGTTATGCATAGTATTCCGCTAAATCTTTTTGGCCCATAACGAAATTCTACAATTTATGTCTGTCTTGTGTTGTGTCTGCATCAAAAGGAAATTGTCCAACAATATATATTACACACCGATCAACTATTTTTAGTTTAATCGATTGAGTGAACGGCTATTTAAGTTAGTTCTTCAATCAGTTGAAACTTGGGGTGATTTTATATGTATCTTAATATTTGTGTGATAATAAAATTAAAACGTGTTATGATATTTGTCTGACTATAAAACAACGTGTTATAATCTCAGTTGTATATGCATTCCATATTGTTTGCCCATAATGAAATGCTAGAATTTGTGTCGGTCCTCTTCAAGTTTTGAGTATGTGCATCAATTCGTTATTTTTTCCTATTTTAGATTTGCCAAACATGTTAGCCACACATAAAGAATTCTATATGTCCACATGTTTCTACTTTTTTTCCATTAATTAGAGGTTTTGATTTTGAGCTTTGGGTATGAAAAAAAAATTCTTTATTAATAAGCGCTATCCAAGAATAGACCCTACCACAGAGGGATATAAATTGCACTAGGCAAGCCCTGTGCGACAGGCTCGACTCAAAAGACATTAAAGGGAAATTGATTCCGATTCATCCGTGTGGATGACCACCCTCCAAACCAACTGAGTCATGCCAAGGATGTTCGTTGTTAAAAAGTTATTGAACTAGCAATTTCAGAGTTGTTGGTTAGGATGAAACAACAATGCTGAAAAGGGATCTTACCGATTTGTGCCCACTTTATCATTTCACTGTTTTGTATAGTCTCACAAGTGTGTACAAGTACAATAATTATAGTAGCCTGATTAATGTACATTTGTCTGTAATGTAAAATACATACTATCCTTACTGGCAATATATCACTTTTATATTAAGAAAATTAGTTACTTTTTAGTATTTTTTTAATTTTAATGATATTTGATTAATTCAAATTCATATCGCGTAGAGACACCAAAGGAAAGCACTACTCTTTCATATTTTGGTTGGTTTTAGTTAGCTTGGTTAAGGATATAATTGCTCATGAAAGTGTAAAAAAACTAAAGAATATGGAGGGTATTGTTGTAAACCAATAATTTTCTTAGAAATTATGTGATGCATGTTACTTTTAATACAACAAATCAAACCGCCAATAAAAAATAATATCAACATAACTAATTCCTGCATTATTAATACACCATATTCAACACTATTCTTATACATCTTACGAAACAACTCCTTACTACTCATATATATACACTTCATATTCAGCCATAATCTTTTTTCATATCCCTCCTCTTCTTCCTATCCTATCCTTCAAAAATATATCACATTGATTTTCATTTCATTAGGAAAATATATTTCTGTCTAGAATATATGGCCAACTCTAAACCACTACTTTACCATTGTTTAATCTTCTTTGTTATCTTACTTTCTTCAGCTGCAGTTTTACAAGGTCGCACGCACTTATATTTAACTTCAAAGGTTAGTTAAATTTGACTCTCGAAACATGAAAAACATGATAAATTAAAATGAAGAGGATATTATGTATACTCCATCTATTCCATTTTATATGCCACTCCTTAATTTCCTTTTATTCCGTTTAATAAATCAAAGAATGATATATACTTTCTTTTTATTACCCTCGATAGAATGTTAATTTTTATAGCTGTAGAAACATATATATCTTATCTAAAATAATAACATCTAAGGGTACTTTTGGAATCTGTCAAATTTATTACGTTCTTTCTTAAGTTTTGTGTGCAGTCAACTAACGTTGCGTAAAATGAAGTAAAGGGAGTAATAATTATTTATTCCCTTCATCCAAAGTCATGACTACTAGACTACTTAATCAGGGGCAGAGCTAGAAGATGAGATATTAGGAGGTTTATTTGAACCGAAAAAGTATATTTTACACATAAGGT